TTGGAAATTATTTATAGAAAATCAATCGATTTTCTAAAAGTTAGAAAATCGCTGTCGATTTTCCAACTTTTTAGAAATTCCTTATCGATTTTCTGGCAAATGAGAAAAGTCAATTTATAGAAAATCGCTTATAAAGCAGAAAATCAACATTTTCTAAACAGTCAGAAAATCGCTGAGGATTTTATAAAAGTTGAAAAATCCTTGGCGATTTTCCAGATCGATTTTCTATAAAGTAGAAAATAATTCCAAATTACAGTGTATAAATGCGCAAAAATAATGTTGATGAGTAAAATGGACATAGTGAAGTTTTAAAAATTCTTCTCTTTTTCCGTTTTTGAGACTTAATACAACAGAGAAGATCATGCAGTCGTAAGAGAAAATAAGTCTGAAAATTTTACATTACATTCTTGTTTTAATGGTGTATTATTAGTATTCTACTATAGTAGGACAATACGCCATACGTCTCCATAATTTGTCTTAATAGCTGTGCTTTGTTCCTTGTCTAAACCGCTCCACAACATATCAATTTAATGGCGAAATTTTAAAAGCGTGTTCAGCCAGAATTGGTCACAGACTCAAAATTTGTTGTGTACAAGGTAATCGACTATGCAGAGTTTGAATCTGTAATCAGTTTTGGCCGAATACGCTTTTAAAATTTCTCGACTGATATGTATGAGCCTAATCCACTCCCTTAATCTGATATGAGGTTCCAACTTGCGGTCATGCTACAAAGATCTTAGTCGCCATCTCTTAGCATGAAAACAATAAAATGGAGCTCTAAATAATAACGGCGTTCCCCTTCAAGAAAATACTAAACACCTCCCTAAAGGATGTACTTGAGATCAAGTACTTAGAAAAGTACTTGGCTAAGTATTGTCCAGAATACCTGGAGTTTTTTGCAAGTAGAAAAGGTACTTATCAAGTAATTTAACAAGTGTAAGTATTAGACAAGTACTTCATCAAGTATTTGGCAGGTAACCTGGTAAGTACTTGCGAAATATATGCAAGTATCCGCAGTTCTTCTAAGTATTTGGTGCGTATTAAATCTAAAAAAACTTAACAAGTGCTTAACCAAGTACTTTAGAAAATTTCCAAGTATCTACGTACTTGATCTCAGGTACATTCGGAATGTACTTGAGATCAAGTAGCTAGTAGGTCTTGGCAAGAGGGCTAACGAGGGAACCTCCCGAGGTAATAAATCGCTTTTTGACCGAAATTTAGTGGATTATAGGTTATCAACCATGCTGATTCCGAATATGACCATGGGGATTCCCCATAGCTCTTCGAAGATCCGATCTTCTGGAAAACCACTTTTTCAGAAACTAAAAAATAACCCAAACCTTTCTTGACAATGCAGGATTGTAGCCCGCAAATGTCTGATTAAGATGAGACTTTCCCCAACTCTATACGACCTTTCTTTGCAAAGTTATGGAATTTATAAGAAAAGTCCTAATTGTTCATTGCTAGCTCAAAGCTACAGAAGTAAGAAATTAATTTAGGGCTTTTCTTATAGATTCTATAATTTTACAAAGAAAGGTCCTGTAGAGCTGGGGAAGTCTCATTTTAATCAGACATTTGCTGCAATATTACAACCTTGTTAAGAAAGATTTGGGTTATTTTTAGAGTTTCAGAAAAACTGGTTTTCCAGAAGGCAAAAAGTGACTTATCACCTCGGGAGGTTCTCTCATAAGTGTCGTCTTGTAATCTTAGTTAAGGGTTGACTTAATTCACGATATTTTGTCCAAAGTCTCAACTCACCTAGACCGTTGCCTACCCTAAATTCACGCAAAGCTGCTAATATACATGTATGTTACATTTATTGTGCTTCTCTTGTCGATAGGTGGAGCTAGCCTTGTGCAGAATGGCAGAACGATCGTCAGGAATTTCCAGTATATTGTTCAATTATGTTAAGCATCCCCAAATGATTCAGCACGTTAAGATTGCAGAACTTGTTCTGATTCCTGATTCCACTCATTCGTACATCCAGTCCTGCGCGCAAATATTTATGATTGGTGAATCAGACTTTAAGGGCAAGGCGCTTTGTTTAAAACAAAGGTGATCGTGAGGAGAGATAGAAAAGATGGAGAAAATTTCTCCTTTGATTGATATGATAATAGTCATTCTAATGATTTTTGATTAATTTATTCTTGTAAATAGTAAATAATTTGTTCGCTAGAAATGACATCAAAGCTTCAAGAAAAACTGGTGTGTACCTGAATACATTTACGGTAATAGTAGTTAGTTTACTGATTATTTTTGTTTTTTAGAAACAGTTGAACAAGCAAAAAGAACTTTTTGATAAAGATGATGTCAAAAATTTCGTACATAAGACTGTTCGTACCGAATTAGTTATTAATCATAATGAACACAACAAACAGCATTATCAGCCATTACCAAGACAGCAGTATATTCAACAAAAGGAACAACAAAACAATTATGTTTCTTCTACTGCTTCAAAAATAAAAAAATCAGCTATACCACAGCCACAAATTCGTGTCAAACAAATGACGGAAAAATTTGAAAAAATTCTGTGTTTACATCAACCAACAGAGGAAAAACAGTTAAACATTCCCGAAAAACCTGTGCGTTCTTACAAAGTCAGATGTAACACAGATTAGCAACTTTTTCTTGTTTTTTAGAGAGAGATGAAAAAGAAACGAGTTGAACTGTTTTCCGAATCTGATGTAGAAAATATATATCTTCTTGATGAGCAAACACGCTCACTATCGGTTGGTCAATTAAAACAGTATGACCAACCAGACTCAATTCAAAAACTAACCTTCAATCTAAAACAATTACCATCTGCCAATGATGCGGATCCGTCATGCTTTTCAAGCAAAATAAATGTTAAGAAAATGGCTCAAAAATTCGAAAATATACTAACATTCCAACGACTTAACGATGATAATGATGATTTTCCAAGTGCAAAAAATCCACCTGAGACAAATGTAAGTAACAGAAAGATTCTACTACTATATACCGTTTCGTTATAGCGACAGTACAAGTCCATTCGGTATTTTTTGGAAGTACATGAGAGAAAGAACATTAAAATTTCTTTCTCTGCATGTATTTAGTGACGGCAGTGATATCTTGAGACAACGTTTATTCTCTATTTTTAGCATAAACTATCACCATCTGTCGTTCAACCTGACAATAATGTTTTTCTATTACCACCCCCACCTGCACCGCCTCTTCCTCTCAGTTTTCAGTCAGCTAACTTGCCTTTACATGGACGAGAAAATTCTTCTGTTCATATTATATCACAACAAAGTTTCAATCAAAAAATGGATATTGATAAACAAACATCGACACCAAAACGTAACAAACAACAACAGGAACACGATTTACAACGCCAACCAATAATAGAAAATGGAGAACCAACAGGCGAACTAGACCATACCTTAGAAGTAAATGTGGATAGAAGAAATCTAGTTGAAAAGAAAACAGAAGATGAAAAAGAATCAGAACGTAAGAGACAGTCTAGTTTGATCCCGAAGTATGTGCTCTGACAAAGTTTTTATATATCGTTACAGCTATGTATCACATGGATATTAGCGAACAAGTTACACTATTAGCTCCCAATCGTCATCAACACGGTAGGAAAATATACTCATATAATAAAGAAATTTTTCTGTTTAGCTGAGTCTGGTAACGCATACGATAATAGATTAAAACTTCATATTTTTGACTGTGTGCTTTCAACTCTTGATGAATTACTGGTTACTGTCTGTCTATGCTTAGAACCATAGAATACATGGATAGTTTTATTACATTTTTATTATTAAATAAAAAGTGTTCAAATTTCTAACCATGTTGTTACAGACTGTAAAAGTTGTCTTCTATTCTTCTGATCAGTTGAACAGAGAACACTTCTGTTCGTATACACGTTAGGTCATTTTTTAAATTCATCAAAATTTTATAGTAACAAATGGTATTTACGTTAATATGATGACAAATTACAAAAATGATACTGGGGCATTTAAAGTGACAAACTTAGATGATGATACGTATGCTAATTCGGATTATGAAATGGTAAGTTGAAAGAAAATCAAGAAACGAGTTTAAGACTCCCTTTTTTTCGGTTAGAAAATTCAAAAACTTCATCGTCAAGTATCGACACGATCTATGTCTGATCCAACATTGAATAAAGCGAACTATTCTCCAATGAAACCTCCAAGAATTTATTATAACAACGATGATAGTACAGATGAATTGGTATGTGGGTTTTATTCTTGTAAGGAGAAAGAGATTGCTATGATTGTATGGCTATTATAACGATATTTTTAGAACGAATCACAATTAGTTTATAGTTTAACTGATTATCGTTTATATAATGCTGAAAAGAAAAAAATGCAACGAAAACATATTATGAAAACAACTTCTCGATCTCAACAACTTAGTCCAATCAGTACACAAATTCTTACTTCATCTTCATCAGCCACAACTACAATAGAAGATAGTGAAAAACGTTTGGCAAAAAAATGGCTTGTTATTGATGAATTACACGTATGTTGTAAACTACTTTGAAAAATATCAAATTAAATCTATTTTATTTTTTCTCTAGCGTTTAACTGAATTATCAAAACGTGAAACAACTATATTACAGCAAACATCATTGGCATTACAATGGTGTACGAATGATCCTCACACAGCATTATCCGATAAAAAAATTGAATGTGAACGCGTTATTTTTATTGCACGTGAGTAATATTTTACTCACATCTTTTTCTCAATCATAATATACTTGTTTTTTCAAATAGGTCAAAAATTAACTGCGTACAATAGTGAAATAAAACGATTGGAAAATTGTGATCCTGATATGGAATATTATTTGTCTGGATTATCACGTAGTACACTAGTTATCCAAGATTTAAGATTAATAATTAAAGAAGATTACATTCGTTCACTTCGAAAAGGAACAGGTAAATGACAGTTAGAAATTATTTCAAATCGTATCAAAATTTAAATTTTATATTTCAGAAACAAAATTCTATTATTTCATGTATTTAATGAAATATCGTTCGCAAATATTATTTTCTCACATGTTTTCGTCACTGGATACATTACAAGCGAATGGTCAAATAACATTTTCTAATCGAATGATGATCAGAGAAGTAGATAGTAATTTTGCAGCAACAATCGGAGTTTATTGTATGGTAAAATATAATAAAACGAATGAATACCTCGCGAAAGAGTAACTCTAATTGTTATTTATCTATTTAAAGGAAATTACAATGAAACATCCGATTATGGGATTTGATTATTCAAGTATTAGTGGAGCTGCAAATGATGGAATTAATCATATGTGTTTTCCACTGCATGACTGTAGGCATTGTGATAAACAAAGTTTAAACACAACAGGTAGGTAGCTAAAAATTATACAGTATTCTGGAGCCTTTATGATATTACATTCTCAAGTTTTATTCAATCACACCAGAAAAATGGTAAAACTGAAGTAATCTATATACTGGAAGAATGTGAAACAAGAGACGGAGAGAGCGAAAATTAGAAAAATGGCAAAGAAGCAATTCCTATTTCTAAACGGACATAACATACAATCCGAATTCTTATTTGTTTTTTAGTTGCCATACCTGGTCAACACACGAAAAATAACACAATGATTCGTGTCAGCAGTTTTTTTCAAGTCGATACAATAACAATACGTAAAGAACATTTGAAATATAATGAATTTCATTTATCAGTATGTTTATATCTATTTACTTTAATATTACATATATGGTGATATTTTTTTCCTTTATAGATATCGGCAGCATCAATACCATTGAAAAATAAATTGTATGTTAAAATACAGCGTTTATCCGAACTGAATGTACGAAGAAGTGGATATTTGGTAAGAAAGGGAATCTATTTGTTGGATCCGTAAACTATTAGAAGTTTTTAATTTAGACAATCTATGGTGATGTTAGTGGTTCGGGTGTCTGGCTTCGACGTTGGTTTGCTTTGACGAATGAACATAGACTAAAATATTGGTCATCCCCAGAGGATGAAGAAACCAATCATGTATGTGATATCTTTTGCCTATCCTTATTTAACTGTTAATAAGCCATCTGTTTAGATTGCATCAGAGGAAATTGATTTACATTATTGTATTGATCATTCCGTGAATGTTCTTCAACGTGAAACATGCGCCCGTCCACATACATTTGAATTGCGTATTGCTTTACCAACGAAGAAGCCAAGCGAGAATGGTTTAGTTATACAAAATCAAACAGATTATAATTCATTTCCGAAATCGATTATATCTCAACCTTTTGGTAAACGTACACTCTATCGGTATGTTGTTCATCTGAGATTGATTGCATTTTTGTCTCCAAAAAGTTTTTAAGATAGTATAGGCCTATGAGTTTATTTTTCTTCAGATATTGGCTAAGTGCTGACTCGAAAGAAGATCGAAATGCCTGGTGTCAATCCATTAATGATGTATTAGAAGATTTAAGAGAATGGGAATCGGATACTCAACAAAAATGATGAAAAACGATTACTTTTCTCATAATCTTTAAAAACTATGACAAAATGCTGAGATTATTTTTAAATTGGTGTGTTTTGCTTATTATCGTCTTCTTCTATCACTCACCGATCCTATGGATGCGCAATGTGTTTGTACTTTTTGATGAACAATGTAAATGTCTTTTCTTTTTGTATAATGTCAGACTTATTATCACATACGTTTTTTCTGAACATTTTATTTTTGTTGTTGTGATTTTGTGTAATATATTCTTGTTAATTGACAAAGGAGAAGAAGAACGAAAAAACCAATAAGCAGTATTTATGAACCTTCCTTGTCTAAACTGCCGGTTTTCGGTACATCTCTAGACCTCCCACTCCATACTATCTGAGAAGTTGACATTTTTTAGTTACTTTGAAAATGAAGTAAAAGATTTCGAAGCAGAAAAAGAGTCTCAAAACAACTCAGTATTTCAGGTAAATATTTACGCTTAGATGAAGTTTTTTTCTATTCTTTCCAATAATATATCTGAAAGCGATACTATTTCTTGTTTCGATTTTAAGGTAGGAAATTGAATTTACCATAATTCATTGCTAAATTTAAAGTTTGTAGCTAAAGATTTGTCCTTTTTGGATGACACAACAGACACTAAAAATAAGAAAATGTAATCGGGTGAATACTTATTTGGTCTTGAAAAATGATTAAATATTTTGAAAAAGTTTTATTATATATATATGAACAGTGTGAGATTGAAACGTGCAATTATCTGTGGATAAAGCCTAGGTACAAGAGAGATAAGAGCGCCACTTAATGCTGGTTTGGACACTGGAAAATGTAGTGACTAAACATGTGCTCTTTCTTCCTAAGGGCTATATCCAAGAGGTGCTCCATGAAAAATAGAGTTATTCTTGCCTTTTTCGTAATAGAGAAAAGCGAACACACTTTGCGAGTAAACGCTCATTTTTGTGAAAACTTCCTAGGACTTGTCCGATTCGGAACAAAATGGGGAGAGCCCCAGTTGAGTGTCTTTTTTATCTCTACTAAGGCTGATTTAAACCAATTTAAAAGTATAGCAAATGGCAAAGAGTACAAAAAGCATAACGTACTCACTTCAGTACTACTAGAGTATCAATTAAGTAGACAATATAATAATGCTACGTGGAGAAAGAGAGGGAAGTGACAATAAGAAGAGCAATAGAGGCAAACAATAACTGATAAGCTAATAGAAAAAGTACATAAAAATCAAAATAAGATAAAGAAGTGATTAAGACGCGTAACGGACACATCCAAAACACTACTGAGGTGTGTGTAATTAAATAAGAAGAAAATAATCAGGCATGTTTCATAAAGCGTTCAGTATTTATAATATAGGTTATCATTAATTTGTATATTTCTACTAAATCAACCTGTTGAATAGTATTTTCTTTGAGTAGTAGTAAGGGCAGAGCAACAATCGTATTTGGTTAAAAAGTAGCTATTTGATTAAATAAAATATTCCGCTCATTTTGATAAGATGGGCATTGCAATATGTAGTGTTCAATGGTCTCAATCTCTCCACACTCACAAAAAGGATCATCTGTTAGGCTTCGTTTGTGCAAATCATATTTTAATTTAAATTAAGTTTATTAAACAACAAATCGAGCTATGCTCATTACACGTTGTGACAATTTGATCAAAAGAGAAATACAGTTAATTGCTAAAAAGAGAAGAGAAAGAATAGCTGATAATATATTAGAGAAAGAACAACAAACTATTCTAGGACAAGAGAGAGTAAGTTCTAAGGACTCGTTTATCATGTTAGAATGTTATCAACGGACCTTTATCAATTTTGACCTGAGCGTGTCTACTACAGAACAATAAAAGCAGGCAACAAAAAAAGTACATATTTTAATTGTGTAAGATCTATGCGACAATGACAATAGTTGATTTCAGTCATGCGCTCTTCTGAAATGGGAAACTTTCATCTGTGCTGTAATAATTTTCTTTTTAAATGATTTAATGTTTAAAGTCAACAAGACTTCTAATGGTAATTCAGAATGTTCACGAAACGTTCGGTAGAAAAAGGAATCATCAACTGCTTCCAAACGTCTCTTAGATAATCTTTGTCTATTTGAGTATTGGCTACGAAGAGTATATTTTGTTTGTGACCTTACTGGGTTAGGAATTAGTTCAAAAAGATAAGATGCTGACTGTTTAACTAAAATAGTTTGAAACTTTGTTAGTCTATCTATTCGGAACCAATTCTCAATCGGTTCTCAACCGATGTCTGCTAAAACATCCTTTATATTACTTCCACGAATAGTACCAGTTACTGCAAGTGCAGCGTGGTACTGAGCACTTTGAAGTCTCTTAATATTTATTTCTGATGTGTTTCCATAGATGATATCAGCATAAGTCTACTAAGGTTAAAACAGGCACTTAACTAGTGTGCTTCGGATAAGGAGACAGTCTATTAAGATATATATAGATTTAATGACTAATTGCTCTGACTCGAACACTTTTACCGAACATTTTTAGAAGATTTTTGCATCAGCGTGTAAAAAAATGTTCAATCTACTATACGACGAAATTTCGTAAAGTATCTATTTTCATCCTAAAATATCCTTTATTCCGAGCATGATTTGTTTGTGTTTGTACTAACGGCGCGAAAAGTGAGATGATCTACTGATAAAGGGGCAATGTCATTCGAATGAGCATGAAAATATACCTAATTTGCTGATATGTAAAGTAATTTTCTACTGCGATTGATCCACACAAATATCTCTATATTCCGATTGAATTACAAAATGTCTGCCGTTGTAGATGTATGTCATATTACATTTTGAAAGCTGTTGCCAAACATTCAAAATGTGATATGACATACATCTGTAGACACGAAGGAAGAGTCCAGAACGTTTTAGAAATAAATGGGAGCAGAGATGAGCAAGTACACGTTTTCTCAAGTATGAATACAAAATAACCTTAATTGAGTATCAGGAATATTTAAGAAAAATAAAAATTTGCTTTTTTCAATAACTAAGAACTTTTGAACGATTTTTCAATTCCTCATTTTCAATTCTTTTCTACTAGATTTCTAGAAAAGACCAAATATTTTTTCTGAAGCAGTAATCAAAAATTTCGTTAAAATTTTTTGAAATCAAGCACGCGAATACTTTTTTACTTAACACTAGAACGCCGGTAGCGGTCATTTTGACCGTTTTGTGATTTTTATCCTTAATAAAACAAACTGCATACAATTTATTTAAAAATAAATTATGTCATAACTTTTAATTTGTCCCACAAAAATTATTTTTTTGG